TGAAGTTCCCCCTAACAATGTTATCTCAGGAGATTCATCGAAACCAAGTTTCTCTTCGTATCTACAAGAATAAAATAGTTTGGAAAGTACGAGTTGGTCATTTTTATGATTTGATGGATGAGTAACGGTCTAGATGGGTGAATGAGTGTGCGTTTGAATTAACTTGGCGATTATATTTGTAGGCACCTTCATCACCTTAAACGAAATTGAGTGAATACATCTCATATTACTGATTTACTGGTAGCCACGAAAACAATACCTTATTCGAAAAATAAAGAATAAAATAGTTGGGAAAGTACGAGTTGGTCATCTTTATGATTTGATGGATGAGTAACGGTCTAGATGGTTGAATGAGTGTGCGTTTGAATTATATTTGTAGGCAAATGTCTGGATGGGTTGACTAATGAGAGTGTGGATGGGTGATTTATTGACTGATTGAATGCATAATTTGGTATGTTGCCCTATTTCATAGAAGAGTGAGTTGGTGGCTCCACGAGTGCATAGGAATGTGAACAAAAGGACCGGCTATCGAACAAATGAGCTGGACGATCAGCATCTGAGTGAATGTCGCATCATTCAGTGGTTTAGTTAATTTGTGATTTATACACTTGCTTGTCAGCCAGCCAATCAGAGATGCCTAATGATTCTACTGAAAAGTTGATGTTTTTGTCTATAACAAGGTGACTAATGAGACTGTGATTAGAGGATTGGTGACGTTTTTGCGTAGAAGAGAAAAAGAACATTGTAACTGTGAGAGATTTAGATTAGCGTTTTGCAAATCTGCATCTATCGTGTATATTTTTTATTGTCTTCTAGCCCTTTAGTCGTAAGAATTACCGGAATAACACCCCCATGCAGGGTACTCTGAAACCTTCTTCTATCGGACACATTTTACATTTCTCAACCTGAAACCAGGCGGCCTTGGCCTCATTTCCTATCGCTCAGCCAGCCAGTCACAAAGCATATGCCTCCATCTTCAATGCGGCCTTAATAGCACATTTAACTCAGCCAACTTTCGGCAGATATTTGCTTTTCATGTGAGCTAATGTATCCTCTCCAGGCCCCCGGACCCATTCTCTGGCGGGAATTTGTTGGCCGATCGGCAATAAAACGTCGACCAGATACACATTGACGTTTCAGCTTGCATCACACGTGAGCACACAAGTGCATGCATACACAGACGGCCCACCAATTAAGCCCAATACAGAAGCGATTGACCGTAGATTGTGGACTTGCTTTCGCAATCTGTCCGGGACCGAGAGAGCCGCCAACGCTAGGCTTTGGTGTCATCGGGCCGACAACATTGCGGCTAGAAAGAGTCGACATTAGCACGTAGTTCTCAACTGTTTTTAATAGTTTTCGCATCCGCGTTGGCAACGGTCCAGAGACGGAAACGACTCAAACGGGATGCTGTGTTGAGGGAGCCTGAGAGAATGGAGAACTTGGTCAGCTGGCCGCGCTCTGATGTAACGCGATGCTGACTTGTTCGGTCGAACACCCAAAGAATGTTCAGGCACTCTTCACCCTGGCAACCAACGAGGTCGTTCTAACTCGTCTGGGCCCCTGTGCACATCGGCCAGCCAGACAAGAGACCTGTGAGGTCGTACCATAACAGAGTGATTTAATCGCTTTATTGAAGTCATTCGACCTTCCATTCACAACTTAGTCTTGACGGCAGGACGACTAGTCGACCGTTGACTTGATACATACTTTGACGTTGCGCTGGCAACTTAGACGGTATCGTTATTTCGCTTTGACCGTCTTAGGGCCCAGCGACAAGAGAAGCATGTCGCCTGACCGAACTTGGGATGGCCACCATGCGATATCTGCTTGAACGTCAGGTGTGTTTTTGAGGATCGTTGTGTCAGTCGTTGACTGGGCTGGGCTAGTCAAAAGGTCAGTATGAATGCTGGCACAATGAAAAATTGAGCTTATTTTTTGCTTCTATTAGTATTTTATCGGAACCACTAGTAGATCATATTTAAGAGCTGTATATGCCCCATTTCGTTAACGATGCTAAAAGGTTAGTAGTAAAATTTCCCAACAATCATATGAATAGGCCTTATGTTTCCATTGAAGTTAAAATTGAAGTTTTCCGTTTCTTTTCCCAACTTATTGCAACCTTTATTACACTTAAATCAGTATA